AGCATCCAGAGAATCCTCCACCCCCTCCACCTCCAATGATGCTCTTGGATCCTGAGGATCCACCACTAGATCCTCCTCCCATGCCATAGCCTGAGGATCCTCCACTGCTTCCACCTCCAATGATGCTCTTGGATCCTGACGTTACACCACTGGATGCTCCTCCCATGCCATAGCCTGAGGATCCTCCACTGCTTCCACCTCCAATGATGCTCTTGGATCCTGACGTTACACCACTGGATGCTCCTCCCATGCCATAGCCTGAGGATCCTCCACTGCTTCCACCTCCAATGATGCTCTTGGATCCTGACGTTACACCACTGGATGCTCCTCCCATGCCATAGCCTGAGGATCCTCCACTGCTTCCACCTCCAATGATGCTCTTGGATCCTGACGTTACACCACTGGATGCTCCTCCCATGCCATAGCCTGAGGATCCTCCACTGCTTCCACCTCCAATGATGATTTTTGATCCTGAAGACCCACCACTGTAGCCTCCTCCCATGCTGTAACCTGAGGATCCTCCACCGCAGCAGGATCCACCTCCTCCACCACTCGAGCTGACAATGATCTGGCCGGAGCCTCCACTGCTCCCACCATAGCTGCCTGAGCTTGAGACCCCTCCACTGCTCCCACCATAGCTGCCTGAGCTTGAGCCCCCACAGCAGGAGGAGCCCTGTGCCTGGTAGCTGGAGGAGCTGCCCCCATGGCAGCAGGAGCCCCCGCTGTGGCATCCGCTGGACTGGGAGGAGGTTTCATGGCAGCCTCCGGTCTGTCTGGAGCACATCTTTGAGCAGCAGCCCTGCAAGAAACATTTCTGTCAGAAAGCAGCCCCTTGGCGATTCTGCTGAATCTTCTCAGCAAACCAAAAATGGAGCAGTGCCCGAGAAATACCCCGTCTGCCCGTATCAACGGGCTTACCTTCAGCGCGACCGGAGATGCGTGCAAGGCTCGATGGCAGGTGAATGAAGAGCCTTGGGATACGCGAGTTTTTATATTGCATGCATCGTGCTCTTAAGGGAAGTGAGACACCCTAAGGAATGATGACAGATATATTTACTGAGCCTTGCTTCAGCTACCTCCTTCTTTGACTCATTTGCAGCAGATACAAAGGAGATATATCAATCACGTTAGCATCACAGTTTCTAATTCTGCTTAATGATTTGTTTCCGGGAGTCTTGCTTCGAAACATTGGGGGCAAATGGCTTCTGGTGGTTTACTTTGGGGGCTCCCCAATGCATTGCTGCTAGGCTGCAGCTTCTTGGATACTCAGGAGAGAGTGTAGATAGAGCAGATGATGAACCTTGGAGGTTGGAGTGAGTTAGGCCTAGAGCGTGATAGGAGGACAAGGGTAAGGGATGTGCTGAACTGGAATCCCAGGGAATTTTGGGGGAAGAGGTTTTCCTCAAAGACCAGAGTGACAGGGAACTGGATGAGGAGCAGGAGGATGCTCAGTTAGATGGGAAAGACAATCATGTTCTCACCAGGCCAAGGGTACCACCTCTGCTGGGGAACATCTCAGCCCAGATGCATTTCAGAAGGCTCCATGAGGATGGCAGAGACATGGGAGCCATTTCACCTCACTTTTTTTGGGACCCCAAGGTAGACGCTGCCATTGGATTGTGCAGAGAGGTCCGTGCTCAGCTCCAGTTCCCCAGGCTGGAGTGGGGAAAGTCTTGAAGTCTTTCTGTTTGCAATGGTGAGTTTGAAGGCCATCAAGACCCTACCCTTGAACTTTAGGACATCAAAGTCTTCTTCTGGCTCAGCAGGACCCGTTTTCTGAGGGTCCTTCACCAGCCAGCCCACCTACACCTGAGGCTGGGGAGGCCTCTGGGTGTTTCCTTGCTGGAGGATGACAGTTTGTCAGCACAGTTGTCGCAGCACTAGCTGCTGTGTTTTTGCAGCAGCTTCATCCTGCCACTGCGTCACGCGTGCTTGGAGGCTGACAACAGCATCCACCCTCATGGGAGACTGAGTAGAGGGAAGCATAACTGGGGGGGTTTAGCTCAGAGGATGCATGACAGCAGCAGCAGGCTGCCCAGCCCTGTCACGATGAACGTAATTTTGAGCATGCACGCAACTGCATTGCTGTGGCACAGGACCGCTGGCCCTAGGACCATGGGTGCAGGGGGCTTCTTTCATTTTGCTTTTGACTCCCTCCAGTGGGTTAAGCTCTGCTCTCACTCCCAAAGGGAACGCTGATGTCTCACTGCAATGCTGGCTCTCACCCCTGAAATCTGGGCGTTGTGCTACAGAGCATTGGAACACCTTGATCCCTTTGGTGCGTTGAACCTGTAGGGACTTGCGCAAAGGGGTACCAAGGATTTGCAGCTCGTTAGGACCCAGGGTGCGAGCGAAGGCTGTGGGAGGCTTTGGGCAGGGCTAGTGAGAGGTGCTCCTTCAAGCACTGCTGTGTGGAGACCCCAAAGCTGGACCCCACAGGGACTGGAACCACTGAACCTGTAGCACGTGCACGTAGGTGGTACTTGCCGCATGTGGAGGAAAAGTACAGCTGGAATGACAGCTGGTGGAGTGGCTGTCATTTCCCTGCTCCTCTCCCAGGTTAAAGAGCAGCTTTAATAATTGTGGTGGGTGAAGATAAGGGTGGATGCAAAAGGCTTCGTGGTGGGGCTGCCTCAGATTTGCACCACGCTGCCTGTTTTCTGTCCCGCCGTCAGTCCCCCTCAGGACAGGCTGGCACATCACGTTATCTTTCAGTGGCGTCACTGCAAACACCTCCGGGGCTGGCACCTTGGTGTGCAGAGTTATGAGGGAAACAAAAACCTTAGCCAGATCCTACAACCCTTTTCCCCAGCATCTTCCTTCATGCACAACAACGCCAGCGTCGACAGCGTGGGACATGATGAAGATGCTGCTGGCGTAAGAGCTCTCCAAATTGTCTGCAAAAGGCAGAAGCTGGTCAGTCATGATTCCTAAAGTGTTTCTGTGGCTGATGATTCCTTTCACTCCTAATTTTGTTTCCTGCCTGTGAGTTGTGTATGTGAGGCGGACAAAAAAAACACATTAACTTAAAATTTGCACAAGACTGCAATAACACTTGTCCCAAGAGGACTTGCTGCTCACATCAGCACAAATGCTACTGAATGCTTCCAACCACAATTAATGATTTTCCTGTGATAAATTTAGAGGAATGGAGTATGTAAACCCCCAACCATATTTCCAAAGATTTTCAATGGAAATCCCTGCAGTGAAGCCCAGAACTTCCCTTCTCTGGGAAGGGGAAACTGAGGTGGAGCTATTTCCCAGGTAAAAGTTGCAGCTTTGGTGGATGTTGTTTGCAAGATGGACAATGATTGTCTGCTTAAGCAATAAAGTTTTTCTCAAGCAAGATCTGTTAAGAGCTGTCTGCTCCAGGCTGAAGAGAATTTCGCAGCTGAACGTATCTGATGTATCTGATTTGTTTTTTGAAAGTAAACAGGGATAAAAGCACAAAGGATAAAACCAGGCTTGCAAAACCAGTTCTTTCTGTATACAGTAATCTTTATTTCTTTTCATATTGATGGGACAGAAAAGCCAACTGAGAGTGCTCAGCACAGGGATGCAGCATCAGAGGAAGACAAGGGAAGGGGATATGCCAGGAGGAAACGGGAGAACTTGGAAGGCAGAGGCAGGACTGTCGTTGCTGAGAACTGGGGGCAGCCTGTGGCTGTTACTTCTGTTGGCTGGGGGGCCAGCAGCAGGCCTGCTTGGTCTGATGGGACTGGATGTTGGGGATGACAATGGGGCATTTCTGCTGTGTGGACCCTCCGCCACCCCCTCCGGAGCTGATGATGATTGCGTGTCCTGACGAACCGCCACTGCCACCACCAGATCCTCCACTGCAGCATCCAGAGGATCCTCCACTGCTTCCACCTCCAATGATGATTTTTGATCCTGAGGACCCACCACTGGATCCTCCACTGCAGCAGCTTGATGATCCTCCGCCCCCTCCACCTCCAATGATAATCTTCGTTCCTGAAGACCCACCACTGGATCCTCCACTGCAGCATCCAGAGGATCCTCCACTGCTTCCACCTCCAATGATGATTTTTGATCCTGAGGACCCACCACTGGATCCTCCACTGCAGCAGCTTGATGATCCTCCACCACCTCCACCTCCAATGATGCTCTTGGATCCTGAAGACCCGCCACTGGATCCTCCTCCCATGCCGTAGCCTGAGGATCCCCCACTTCCTCCACCTCCAATGATAATCTTCGTTCCTGAAGACCCACCACTGGATCCTCCTCCACTGCAGCAGCCTGACGATCCTCCACCACCTCCACCTCCAATGGTGCTCTTGGATCCTGAAGACCCACCACCGGATCCTCCTCCCACCACAACATCCAGAAGAACCTCCTCCACCTCCAATGATGCTCTTGGATCCTGAAGACCCACCACTGGATCCTCCTCCCATGCCTGAGGATCCTCCACCACAACATCCAGAAGAACCTCCTCCACCTCCAATGATGCTCTTGGATCCTGAAGACCCACCACTGGATCCTCCTCCCATGCCTGAGGATCCTCCACCACAACATCCAGAGGAACCTCCACTGCTTCCACCTCCAATTATGATCTTTGTTCCGGAGGACCCACCGCTAGATCCTCCTCCCATACCGTAGCCTGATGATCCTCCACCACCTCCACCTCCAATGATGCTCTTCGACCCGGAGGACCCACCACTAGATCCTCCTCCCATACCGTAGCCTGAAGATCCTCCACTACCTCCTCCTCCAATGATGATCTTGCTTCCCGAGGACCCACCACTGGATCCCCCACCGCAGCATCCAGATGATCCGCCCCCACCACCACCTCCAATGATGATCTTGCCTCCTGAAGACCCACCACTGGATCCACCACCGCAGCAGCCTGATGATCCTCCACCACCTCCACCACCTGAGCTAATAATGATCTTCTGGCCCGACCCTCCACTGCCACCACCTCCTCCCATGCCGTAGCCTGAGGATCCTCCACCGCAGCAGGATCCACCTCCTCCACCACTCGAGCTGACAATGATCTGGCCGGAGCCTCCACTGCTCCCGCCGGAGCTTCCCGAGCTTGAGCCTCCACAGCAGGAGGAGCCCTGTGCCTGGTAGCTGGAGGAGCTGCCCCCGTGGCAGGCAAAAACGGGGAGCGGAGAGACCGGCCCCGGTGGCAGCAGCAGCAGGAGTCCCCACTGTGGCATCCGCCGGACTGGGAGGAGGTCTGTCTGGAGCACATCTTTGAGCAGCGACCCTGCAAGAAACATTTTCTGTCAGAAAGCAGCCCCTTGGCGATTCTGCTGAATCTTCACAGCAAACCAATCTCCATTTCCATCCTGGTGAAAGAGGACTCCCGGTAGCATGGAGTGATCCTGCTTCTGCTGTCATCCACAGGGGATTTAAATTCAACAAAGCAGCAAAGCAACCTTCTTGCCCTTCAAGCCACCACCCGTCAGATGTACTTTACTGAAGCATTTATGATTTGCAAGCATGAAACGAAGCAAAGAATGTCTCCCTTTGGCTGAAGTGGACTTACCTTCTCGGCTCTGACAACAGGTAGCAGAGAGAAAAGCTTGAGCGAATGAAGCCCTGTGAGATCCAGCAACTTTTATACCATTTCTAATTTTCCCAAGTGGGAAGTGAGACATCCAAAGGAATGGTGATAGGTTTATTTACTAAGTGAACTGTCCTCCTTCAGCCCACTTGTCCTGACTCATCGAATCAGATCCAATGCCTCTCCACTGCATCACTTCCCAGGCTACCTACAGCTCGGCTCCTGGTATCACACGTGAGCTCAGCTCCTGCAGTTGACTTTCAAGGTTGGGCTCCAGCTTGCACCCCCCACTCGAGGGCGACAGCAGAAGGAGCTGCAGAGGCTTGTGTTTGTTTTGTTAGGGACCATGGAGATGCCCGGGGGAATGGAGAGGGTAGGACTGAGGTGCTGGGGCAGCAAAGGAATCTCACACGCCAGGACTTCCCTGTTACACCAGTGAAGTGTTTGAGTGCACCCCTATGGACAGTGCAGAGGTCAGGCAGGCTTTACACTGCCTCTGGAAAAAGGGTGATGCCTGTTTTAGCAAGGACTTGAAGTGCTGTGGATACAGGGTACCAGATCTGGCATCCACCCTGTGTATCAGCATCTCGATGGATATTAACCAAAAAGATGAATTCACCCCGGTTTAGGAGATGCCTCTGGTGTCTCTGAAGGGAACCACATTAAACCACGACACACCCTGAGAATCTCTGAAACTTGGCTCCTGGCTTTCTGGATCCTGGGCCATTTCTAGGTGCAGCGATGTTCAACAGCAAAGCCCCCATCTCCTTGAGATGGGACCCGAAGCTCTCTGTTAGCTCTGTGCAGGCAATGGCAGCGTTCGTGTACTTCCCTGTCACGGGTGTTTTAGCACCCTACGACTTTCCATAATGAAATCCCAGACAACTCAGCTGTTCCTGGGGCTGCACTGGCTGAAGGAGCTCGTCTGGATGTGTTTTGAGAAAGCTTCTATCCCTGGAGGGCTCAAGAAGGAGAGAACAGAGGGTAAAGGGACATGTAAACATGAAGCTCTTCTACAGTGCAGGTCACTCCCGTCTCTTCTGGGACACTTCCAGGCATCTGTCATCTGCCTCACGTAGAGCAGTTCAGGCAGAGAAGGTTTATTTTCCTTTCCCTGCTAATTGCTGGAATGTACCACATCAAAGAAATCCCATAGGGAAACTCCCTCTGAAGACTCATACCAGGAGCTGTGTTTTATTCCTGTGGGAACAAGGAAATCCCTAGTTACTCCAGGCTTACCATGTCAGCCCTTGGAAGGGACTTTAGAAAGTCCTGTCACTGGCTCCTCTGGGGGTTCAGAGCTCCCACAGCTACTTGAAGAAGTTGTGAACACCAAGAGTTCCTGCACCATGTACATGCGAGGACCTCAACTTCACACCTGTGGTACTACCTTGTAGTAGAGTTTTTGCATCTTTTCTCTCCTAACCCACTTAAAACTCTCTTGGGCACTGCATGACATTTTGGTAAGGTAGAGGGACTGATGTTGATCTTTGTGGCACCTTATTGGACGGGCAAAAGTCAGGATCGTGAGTGGCAACAAACAGTAGGAAATGACTTAAGAATATTCAGTGAATCCAGCATCTCTTCTACAGGTAAGTTTTCAATGCATTTGTGCTCTGGAGCTTTATTACAACAGCATCAGCTCGGAATAGAAAGGTAATAATGGAAATAATGCAAAAATCATGGTGTAAAGTAAAATCCAACCACTCAGACACTGAAGCTCTTGAGAACTGCAAGTTTTATTGTCTTGTGCAAGCACGAGAAAACTCAGGCAGACTACAGACGTATGAAACAACCCTGGCTGGAAGTTATTGACACAGAACAGCGGAGGTTCTGCTCAGCTGGAATGCTGAGCAGAAAAATCCCAAAGAAGAGGAGAAAGGAATAATATAAATATTCTTAGATTTAACAGAGAAAGACATGTGAGGCATGTTTGTATCTTGGGCTTTCTTGACCAGAGAGTGCCTCCTGCAGACCCTACTTGTGTTTGGTCTGTGGTGGCCAGTGGACTGGCTGGGTTTGCTGGCAAATGGACACATGTCCAGAACTGGATGAATGACCTCCACCACCACCTCCCCCTCCTCCTCCACCACCACCACCAATGCAGATGGGGCCTTGACCCTGGTGGCCTGAACCACCTCCTCCTCCTCC